GATTCCGCCGCGCAGCGTTTATGCCCCGCCTTCCAGCGGAAAAGACGGCTTTGGCGTTCGTTCAGGCGAGTAACGACAACGGGTAGTAAGAATTGCAATCATAGGCGTGGGTATAATTTCGTTGATTTATTTTTATTTTATATAATAATGAAAATGAAGATACCTTATTTGGACAATTGCAAATGCCAAACGATAACTTTGTTGAGCTCATTTGTAACACTGAAAAGATATTTCAAGATAATTTTGAACAATTATCCACAAAAAATAACATTTGTAGCACATTTCTTGAATTAATTAAAAGACTACCTTTTAGTCATCCGTGTCATTCTTTTCCGAAAGAATTTGTACTTAGGTTATATTTAAGGGTTTGAATTTATTATACGTTATAAACTATAAACCAAAATTTTAGGAATATTCAAAAAATAAACATAATAATGGAGAAATCTGTAATGATTATATTTTTAATACTATATATTATATTATTATATTTTTTTGTATATTATATTGTTTATATTATACTAAGTTTTATAATATGTATAAGTATTAGTCCAGGCTGTATCGTTGCTCCCGCTAGGAACATGATTCTCATTTGATTTTTTTTTTCATAATCTTACTAAAAAATGATCCTGCATGTTGCCAGACGTTACTAATGGTCAAAAATTGTTTAAACAATTTTTTTTAAACAAATTCGTAATTTTCGATTTTTCGCTCGAAACACATTTTTATAGTCTTTTTGGGGTATCCTGAACAAAAATATTCATATGCAACTTTTCTCTAAAATCTACCGTTTTCGAGATGCTAACGATTTTTTGTTTGAAAAAAAAAAACGCGATTTTAACCATTTTCTTCTCTAAGGATTACGTCAGTAAACAGGAACTTACAACAAGGAATTTTAATTACTCTTCAAGTTTTCTTTTAATAATCCGTATTAACTCCAAGTACAAAACCTATTACTTATTTAAAATACCTATTTTCTACTTTTAATGTCATACCACGTAATATTCTAATTCAAATTTCATATTATTAAAATTACCTACTACGGTACTGTCAGGTAGAAACTAAATACTTTATTTCAATAATAAAAATTATTTTAATCCAGCCCCGACAATTCCGCTTAATCTGAGAGAGAGCACGATTCCGTTTCGCTTGGTTCTCGACCGCCACATCAAAGGCGCCGACACGGACTCTTCCAGCTGTATTAAGCTGTGATATTAGTATGTAGTATACGGTACTAATTGTAAATAAAACTAATTTGTTTTAAAATATTGTTTATGCTGTTTTTAAAAACGAACATAAAAAATAAATAATAATACTAATCTCATTGATATGAAATATGTTTTTAAAATCTTTTAAAAATTTTATAATTATGTAGGTATGTTACTATTTTTTTACTCACGGCGGATGGTGTGGAAATTTGCTTTTTAATAACCAATCCTTTAAATTTAAATTATGAGATTTGACAACGCATAGCCACAGTAGCGCAGTCGGTCGAGAGTGCGGTGGCAAGCATTTCTCAGCTAGGCTTCCTACTCTGGTCCGGCTTCGATCCCCGGTGTCGGCACTGACAATATCGATGGCTAATGGGTGTTTGTCCGCGTTTTTTCAAGTGTAGCCCCCTTCTGCACAAGCCTTTGGCTTTTGGATTTGGGGGTTCTCTCATTTCTGTGGTGTGTTTTATGTTTTATGTTATAGCCCAGTTCCCAAGTGTGTCTAATGTGCACTTTTATTTGAGATCACACTAACCTGTCCAGCAGTGGGGTACAGTGGCACAGCCAGGATTACATTCTGGTGGGGCACAATAATTTTTTTGTTGTGTATGTACTTGTGTTTTGACCATAAACGAGGGGGGGGGGGTTAATAACTGAATAGAGAAAAGCTTAAAGAAAAATTTACATTTACTAAACACAATAAAAATTTACAATACTAAATCTAATCTCCTGGTCCCTTCTCACTGAGAATAGCTAGTACTTCTTTTGGATCTACATGGACTTCTCGGTGAATATTTAAATTGGCGAGGCCGTTTAACCTATTTTCACTCATTGAATTTCTCAAATAGGTTTTGAGCTGTCGTAGTGTTGAAAATGTCCTCTCTGCTGTAGCTTTGGATACTGTATTGTTGAGAATATCTTTAGTAGTATGAATATATTTGGATAAAAATTCGCATTGCATAAATTTATGCCATCGATTGCACTCTTTGGAATGGGAGGATCTGATGACTCACTGCGAGATTTAATAAATTTCTGGTACCACAAACGTAACTCGGCCTCCAAGATGTTTTTACTCAACTCCTGCACATAATGGCGATAAAAGCAGACTAGTATATGGAAGCTGTCTATTTGCTTTTGTGTGATAGATTTTCCACAAGGGAGCAGCACCATAAAATTACTGAGTATCGTCTTGTGTTTTGAAAATCAATCATTTAGGTTCAATAGAAAAGAATCTATCCATGGCAAAAATATTGGTATTTGGTAATATTTAATGCAGCTTTCAGTGGCAATGTTATCCCGGTGTACTTGTTTCACTGCTAGTCTTGGTATTTGATATCAATATTAAATATTTCGGCTTTCTGTTTAGCCTCGCCAGAAAAAAAATTATAACTCAATCAAATTATACCTACTCACCTGATCTAAGTCTGCACTATGTGTTTCAGTGCTTTCATCTAATTTGGGCTTTTCCTTTCAAAAAAGTTTAAGAAAGTCATTTTGGCTTCCGTTTATCACTAATCGTGATAATAAATTCGTATTTGTATATTTACGTGAACTAAAAGTATCTTGTTGATACAAGTCTCCTTAAAATGTGTATTAAGTGAAGATGCAAGCACGTCTAAACTGGAGAAGCCGTTCTGGCGTAATATCCAAACCAAAGCACAGGACTTGTACGCAAACCAGAGCGGTAGCGACCGCGGTGGCAGACGCGATGGCGGTATGTTCACAGGGCGGTACGCGATAGTACGCTGCAGAGAGGCAGGGGCGTTTGCCAGATCATGCAGATTTGCACTCTTCCATTTAGTTACATGTATGGCGGTTGACCGCACCGCCATCGCATCCGCCACCACGCCCTCTACCGCTTTAGTTTGCGCGCCGCAATATCTACGTACAATACTATCAATACTATTTTGCTCACTCATGCGCATTACTAATATTGTCAACAGTAACGGGGTTTAATTTCTTGACGGAGAGGTTAATTTTTTCCAAATTTTAGATAGGTATGTTCTGTTTTTAACTGAGATTACTGAATATGTTAATCAGCCGGTCTGGGGAGGCTACGTGCCCCGGTGCCCCCNGTTTTGAAAATCAATCATTTAGGTTCAATAGAAAAGAATCTATCCATGGCAAAAATATTGGTATTTGGTAATATTTAATGCAGCTTTCAGTGGCAATGTTATCCCGGTGTATTTGTTTCGCTGCTAGTCTTGGTATTTGATATCAATATTAAATATTTCGGCTTTCTGTTTAGCCTCGCCAGAAAAAAAATTACAACTCAATCAAATTATACCTACTCACCTGATCTAAGTCTGCACTATGTGTTTCAGTGCTTTCATCTAATTTGGGCTTTTTCCTTTCAAAAAAGTTTAATAAAGTCATTTTGGGTTCCGTTTATCGCTCATCGTGATAATAAATTCGTATTTGTTTATTTACGTGAACTAAAAGTATCTTGATACAAGTCTCCTTAAAATGTGCATCAAGTGAAGATGCAAGCACGTCTAAACTGGAGAAGCCGTTCTGGCGTAATATCCAAACCAAAGCACAGGACTTGTACGCAAACCAGAGCGGTAGCGACCGCGGTGGCAGACGCGATGGCGGTGCGGTCACAGGGCAGTACGCGATAGTACGCTGCAGAGAGGCAGGGGCGTTTGCCAGATCGTGCAGATTTGCACTCTTCCATTTAGTTACATGTACGGCGGTTGGCCGCACCGCCATCGCGTCCGCCACCACGCCCGCTACCGCTTTAGTTTGCGCGCCGCAATATCTACATACAATACTATCAATACTATTTTGCTCACTCATGCGCATTACTAATATTGTCAACAGTAACGGGGCCTAATTTCTTGACGGAGAGGTTAATTTTTTCCAAACTTTAGATAGGCATGTTCTGTTTTTAACTGAGATTACTGAATATGTTAATCAGCCGGTCTGGGGAGGCTACGTGCCCTGGTGCCCCCCCCCCCCTTGGTTGCGCCACTGAAAATTATTAAAAAAAATGTTAAAAAAAGAATAGTTTTCACGACGGAATTTGAAAAAATGTTTCTAAAAGTCAAAGGTAGCCTTCATAAAAATATGTTCCCCATTCAAAATTACACCCTGCATATCCAAATTCAAATAACCTGTACATTTTCTAGTTCATTTTATGGGATAATACTACTGAAATATGTTATAATTATGTATTTCATTAAAACGATACAAAATAAAAATTTGTAATAAGAATTGTTTGTAAAAACAATAAACAATATCTTTTTAGGATTGGTCACACAGATACCACAAGATTTTTATGAGTTTCTACTGGACCTACAGAATAAACTATCTTCAGTCATTAAATCTGTTGGAAAAATCGAACACTCGTTCTGGAGGGCCTTCCACACAGATATTAAGACTGAAAATAGCGAAGGTTTTATCGATGGGGATTTAATCGAGAGTTTCCTAGATTTATCTCAAGACAAAATGAAAGAAGTTGCGGATGGCCTAGGGGTAAGTAATGATGATCGTGTTATTTAAAAGGCTTCATTTCTGTCTTTACAAACACACCTCACCCGTTACGTTTGTTTCAGATGACCGTAGAGTATTTAGTGAAGATGATCGAAGATTTAACTAGGATACATTGAGAGTATTAGAATCTCCAGAGAGACTTTTCTAGCATGTGTTATAATTTTTTGAGAAAGCAGATTGTAACAGGTTTTTGTATGTTGACCTGTGAACTAATGATTGTGTATAAAACAAAATTTCATACAAAAAAGTGTTGTAACTTTATTTAATAATGAAAAATAAATATAAACTTTGGTCTTAATCTAACATTTGTGTCCGGAAGACATGATCGTATCCAGTTTTGATTAGGAATTGGAAATTCTTGTTATCCTGCAGGTGCTGCATAGACTGATCTTCAATCAAAGTGTCTAGAGGTGGGAGAAGATTTTGGGGATTTGCACCTACAAAATTATTCAGACTGCCTTTAATTAAAGAAGAACGTGCACAGTAAGGTGGCCCCAAAAAAAAACGAATATCTTTTTTTCGTGTCGCTTGTGTAAATATGTTAGTTTATCATGTTTTACGAGCCCCCTCAAAAAATCAACTAAAAAAAAAAACATTTTTAAAGGTCGCTCAAGATTTTTAAAAATTTCCAAAATCGTCAAAAATTTAATTTTTTTAAAACTTTTTTTCTCATTATTTTATCATTTTCTAAGTTGAAAAAAATCTCGATTCTGAAAATTTCAAATCGATATTTTAATTTCTAAAGGTCCCTCATAATTATTTTAACTTTCAAACTAGTGTACCTGTTTTCAAGCGACTTACCTTTAAAAATAAATATCAACAAACTAATATTTTTTTTTATTGAATTTGAACAAATTAATAGAAATAAATCACGAGACACTTAAAATTTAAAAAATTAAAAAATTATAAATATTTGATACTCAATAGTACGTTAGTAAATTTTGCCTTTTTAAGTGTCTTGTGATTTATTTCTATTCTTTTGTTTATCAAATTCATTAAAAAAAATTATTAGTTAGTTGATATTTATTTTTAGAGGTCGAAATTAAAATATCGATTTGAAATTTTCAGAATCGAGATTTTTTCAACTTAGAAAAAGATAAAATAACGAGAAAAAAAAAATTAAAAATAAAAATTCAATTTTTGACAATTTTGGAAATTTTAAAAAATCTTGAGCGACCTTTAAACAATTTTTTTGAGCAGATTTTTTGAGGGGGCTCTTAAAATATGATAAACTAACATATTTTCACAAGACACGAAAAAAAAATATTTGTTTTTTTTTGGGGCCACCCTAGCGCACAGCTTACCGACTATCTATCCAAATAAATATTAAATAATTTTGCAATTTTTGAATGTGACAAATAAATAATATCACTTCTTATTTATTTAGCATCTCAGTTTGAGTTTTCTGAAAAATTTTTTATTTAATTTGAATTAACTTAATACCTTAAAATAACTTAAAAGTACAAGAGCTGACAAAAATATGAGGCGGTTTTTGCTTATTTCCTCATTTGTCAGTTGAGAACTGTTCTTGGAGTGGCGTGTTGCCTCTATTCCAAATTCCATCAGCGCCAATGTTCCCTCAAATTTTTTTTTGACCCCTAAATTTTATTTTTAGCGAAATTTGTATTTTTGCCATTTTTAGATGCAATTCTTTTATAAAATAAAATTTAAAAAATGGTGAACAAGCCCATTGTGTGCAGAATACAAAAACAGCTGCGCAACTTTCAAAAGATTAACACCGGGCCGCGCTTCCGTGCAGCTTAGAGGGAACTTTGCCGCCAACTGTGAGGTGAGGAGCGTAATCCGCTTTCTTCTTGCAAAGGGAAAAGTGCTGTTCCAGGTTTCCAAAACTGTTTATGGGATGTTGTAATGAATCTCACTAATGTGTACAAGTGGTGTCACGAATATAAAGCCAGCAGAACGAATGCTCATGATGAACAGAGGAGTAGGCCTCCCTCAATTTTGAGTGATGAGATGATGAACAAACTCGAAGCAATGCCTCATGGCGACCGTCGACGATTTTGGACGAGATGAATGCAGTGTTTCCACAAATCTTCTGATCTATTTTGCATGAAATCATTACTGAAACACTTAGTTATCGCCAATTATGTGCGAGGTGGATACCAAAACAGCTCACGGATCAACACAAAGCCAACACATTCGCATCTTCATGGGAATTTCTCAAGCGCTTTGAATTGGAAGGAACAAATACTTGACTGTATTGTGACTGGCGACAAAACGTGAGTGGCCCACTACACACCTGAGACGAAAAGACAATCAACGCAGTGGCAACATCTGTCTTCATCATCAGCGAAAAAATTCAAAACTGTTGGTTTGGCCCGAAATATCATGGCAACTGTGTATTGGGACCTTAAAGACATTCTCCTCATTGACTTTTGCTCCAAGGGAAACAATTAATGCATGGTATTGTGAAGCTCTGAAAATGCTACGGAGGACGAGACACAACAAAAAAAGGAAAATGTACTTGTTGCATGACACTGCACGTCCCTAGAGGGCCAACGCCACTAACCAACTTTTGAATTCATTCGGTTGGAACATCATCAACGGCTCACAACCTTGACCTGGCACCTTGTGATTTTCATCTTTTATCTTCTCTGAAAGTGTTTATGGGTGGAAAGAGGTTTTCTATTGACGATGAGGTCCATAGTGTTGTGAAACAATGGACTCGGGAGCAAAGCTCTCTCTAAGCTGCGCGGGTGCATGGCCGCGCACTAATTTTTCAAAATGGGCTTGTTCGCCATTTTTTTAAATTTCATTTTATAAAAGTATTGCATCTAAAAAGTACAAAAATCCAAATTTCATTAAAAAAAGCATTTAGGTCAAAAAATTTTTTTTAATAATTTTGCTTCCATATACTTCAAATTAAAGGGAACATTGACCAGGAGGAGGTTGGAGATTTTTTTGACGAAGGTATGAGAAAGCTCATCCCTCGGCTCACAAAGTGCATTGAGGTTGAAGGCAACTACGTCGAAAAATAGTGTTTGATGTACCTTTCTGAATATGTAAATTTTTCATAAATATACTGCCGTTACGATTTAAAAAAAAATTGAGTACTCTTGTAGATATGCCTCATATGATTTTATATACACAAAAGTTTATACTCACCTAAAGTGATTGAAAGATCCACCAATCTAAAGAACAGTGTGCCTTGTAAAATCTCCAGAGGGGCGTCCAAATTCTTGTAATTCCAAGAGTCCCTCAGAATAGCCGACCTCCAAACCTTAAGAAGCAACTCTTCTCTCAATTCCTCATTATCTATAAACTGAAGGATGTCCAAGGCTTTTTTAAATTCCAACTCGCCAGCGTCTGTATATTCGCTGCATATATACAAATTTACCAGATCCTTGGGAGGAATGACCCTCGGTCTCATAGTGTCATACCCAAACTGCTGTAAAACGTAGTCGGGCAGATCCCCTTGAAAAGCAGTCAGTTCCAAGCATGAATTAATATTTGTAGTGAAAATTTCCAAGTCGGGGGTGTTGGGACCTGCCAATTTCGCCAATTTACTTAAGCTGTACATAGTCTTCTGTCTTGTGAGGGATTCTTCCTCTTCATCGGCCAGTTTTTGTAAAGTATCCGCGGCCAAGGCAAATTTCTGATCAAATATCTGCTGCATCCAAGAGAGAGACGGATGGTCTGACAAGAAGTTTGTGAACTTCTGAACATTTTTTGTTCTGTCAATTTTTCTGTATCGATCTATTAACTTTCCCTGTTTGTTCTCTTTAAGGAACCAGTTATAAACGTATTCTGTGAAGCCATCGTTACTGAAACGATCCATGTATTCGTCTAATCTCTGTTGGTTATCTGTTAATTCGCAGACGATAACTAATGTTTCAAAGTCCAGATATTTTTCTGCTAACTGTGCCGCTTTTTCCCATTCCTTCTCCGTCACTAAAAATAATTTTGTTAATATTTCTTACGAATACATTTATTTATAAAAGTGTTGTGGAAATGAGTGCAAAAAATTTAGGAGGTTATAGAATGATGATAATTTCCTATAAGCCATGGGCCTATCGTCTTTTGTTTTCGAGGTGGGCTAAAGATGATTTTGTAAATTAAAATTTTAATTATTTTGCAAAAAAAAAACTGTTGCTTCAAAATTTGGTGCAAGTACCTATAGTAAGATCGTATTCGATGCAAAATAGAGCAAAAAATTGTCGGTGTTTTATCAAAGGAAAATCGTGTCATAATTTTTAAGAGGCTAAGATGAACCATTTCAAATTTAAAATGAAACTGAATGTAATATCTGAAATACAGCTGCATACAGACTGTGTTCTGGTAGTAGCTGTAGTCGCCCAGGTGCATCGAGTGTACGAAGTGGTTGGTTATATGTCAAATATGGCGAGCTTGGTCGTAAATCAGACTGCCTCCAAAAAATAAGTAAACAACAGTGGCGTGTACAGAAGTGAAATGTAGTATATATGTGGAATTTAAAAAACAAATTGGATTTATAATAAATTACATTTAAAATAAATAGTTTATCAGAGTACAGGGATTTTTGTAGGAACAGAGTGCCAGACATGAACTGATCCCTTCATCCCTTCATAATGCATAAAGAAATTATTTAATTTCTAAACCTTTTAAAACCGTAAGGCAATGGATCCCTTGACAGGCAATTATTTATTACTTTGCATCGAATATGATCCTACTATAAGTGTTTGAGGGCGTTAAATGTGTCAACATTAGTAGTTTCTAACTCTGCTGGAGGTTGTTAGCTATCGTTCTGAAAAATTTTTTTAGTTTAGTTTTTTTACAGAGTATGTCGTACATTACAGTGTATAATTGCAATTCATTTCTGCAACACTATTTGTTAAACTTGATTTTTTATATTTCTTCCTATTTAATTTGAAACTTCTGCAACACTCTGTATATTAAGGCTAATTTGTAAAATAAACGATGTTGTGCCGATTTGTTAAGTGGATTCAAATAGATTTTTGATATTTTCTCCAATTTAAAACTTTTAGAATGTTTTACTAATCAGTAGGTACTTACATAGTGGTTTAATGAGTTTATGCCTATCGGAACAGTACTGTTTATACAATACATTTTCCCTTGGAGTGTTCTTTATACTTTCCAAATGGCATTTTCTTCCATCTAATATTAAGTCTGTCAATGCAACAAAATGATCCAGGAGGGAGTTTCTTAACTGGCCATGGTTAATCAGTTTCAGTCCATAACTAAATGTTATAGAATGCTGAAAGGGTGATACAATGGGTGTAATAAACCAATTTAGATCAAGTATAGACAATTAAATCTTGGCAGTCTTTTGCTATAAGTAGCAGCAAATCAGAACAAAAGGTGGTGTGGTTCTTTTTTTTTTCTAAATGAAATTTTTAAGAAATGCAGGTGCTTTATAAAACACCTGCACTTTATTTGCTATAAAAAAAGGTAGGTATCTTGCTATATGTCATTAAAATGCATTGTATAAAAAAAGAGGAATTTAATCTTTTTATCGCGATTAAGTTCATTTTTTATGATTTTGATCACCTTCTTTCTATTCAAATGTCAACGTCTAATGAGATATAGTTTGAATATAGTTCAAAATATTTAAAGGTCTATATCAGTAGATACCGACATTCGAATAAAGGTAAAAGTCATTACCACCTAGATTACCAAGGCATCACATTTCACATCTGATGTGCTATTGTTTAGTGGCGGAAGTCAGCATGTGTTGTTTAATAATTTTGGTAAATATTACAAAATCAATTACAGTATAAACTATAGACTCTTTAATGCAAACTAATTAAAACATGGGCTTAAAGAGATAAGTTTAAATTACCGATATTTTTGGATAACTGGATAGTAAATATGTTTATGTACATGTTATGTAATATGAATTAGATTTTATGTGGTACTGAGAAGGCAAAAAATAACAATAAAACCAAACATTATTGTAAAATAGTCGTATAAATATCGACATGTTTGCACAGCAATAATATTTCAACTGAAAAGATCTAATCGAGAAAGGTTCCGACTCGCATAAAAGGGTTTCCCCAAGACTGCCAGGGAATTACGTTTTTAGCGGTTACTTTTTATTATGTAGTCTGATTTTATAATCCGAGCTATATACGTTAAACCGAATTTCGTTCAAATTAAAGAGTTTTGTTTGGAAAATCGAAACGGGGATTCGTCGGGCCGGATTAGTGGATATTCAGATTAAAGTGAATTCGGATTAAAGAGTCTATACTGTATATTGTAAAAAACGATTTCAAATAATTTCACATATAAGTGTACTGTGTTATAAGTGTTTATTGTAGTAACTTAAATCAGGTTCTAAGATTGAGGTTAGGTTTGGTTGGAGGAGCTAATTTTAAATGTTGGGTCAGTGCATTTCAACAATTGCGTGTTAAAAAAACGGTGCATTTTATACCTCTATATGGAGAAACTACCTAAGAAAAATGGTCCTAAAATTAATGTCTCTGGTTTCTCAAAAGATGAAGTTACGTTGTAGTTTCGGGGCTTGCCAATTCCACAAACATATCAAAAGACAGATTTGTCATTTACTGTTTTATTTTGATTTAAATTTATTCCAAAGGACCCCATCATAATCTTATGGAAAATGACTTTCAGCAAAATCGTCTCAATTTTTAATATGAGATAGGTCTTTGGCCACAACTCCCAGTAATGCCTCTTTTTACCTCTAGAGGGCGCTGAACCCTGCCAGAACGAAACACTATATGAGATATGGATTTCAGTTAAATCGTCTGGTTTTTTGATATGTGATAGGTCTCATCAATCTGACCAATTGCCACGATTCCCGGTAATGCCTCCTTTTATCGCCAGAGGGCGCTTAACCCCGCTAGATTGATCCATAATCCCTTTTTACTTTCAAATAACCTTGAAAACAGGTTGATCGACCTGCTTAACGTAAGCAGCTACCCGAAAACCTTTAAGTACCTTGTTCAGATCCCTTGATACTTCTTAAATCAAACGTCAACTTATTAATTCAGATACTGCGGCTTCTGGAGTTACACGCCCTCTAGCGATTAAAGGACAATTCACAAATAGTTCCAGCCATGAAGCTTTTAATCAGATTGGTAAGAGCTATATCCCGTATCAAAAACCCAGACGATTTAACTGAAATCAATCTCTCATATAGTGCATCGTTCTGGCGGGGTTAAGCGCCCTTTAGAGGTATAAAAAGGAGTTACCGGGGGTTGTGGCCATTGGAAATTTTGATCAGATTGGTAAGACCTATCGCATATCAAAAATTGAGACGATTATGGCGGTATCCTTTAGTCCTGGCACAAATGGAGGAAGCATGGCACAGATTGAGTCGTAGACCAGAACAACTACTCAACATTCGTACCATTTGCTTTGGGCAAGTCTCACACACACCTCATCCACAACATACCACGTCTCCTATGTTTGTGTCTGGGTTTAGAGTATGTATTTTTATGTTAGGCAGCTAGAATCCTCAAATATCCCTTGACATCAAATTTCATTGGAGGTCTTAAAAAGTAATTTTTCAGGAAGGAAAATCATATTAACCCTTTCACTGCTCCAGACGTATATATTCGCTAAAAATTTATAGGGCTCAAACTGCTCCAGACGTAGTAATTCGCATGAATAGTTAAATTGGATCAGGCTGCTCAAACCGTATATATTCGCAACCATGTGCATTAGTGACTGGGTTATTGCAATTGGTAAGTCGAATGTTTGCGGGCGAGCTTATACCGATTGTGACAAATATTTTTATGGAAAGAGGTACTGGTAATAATACCAAGATTGTTCATGTTTCTTTCAGTTTCTATTTAGTACATATACTGTATTTTATTCAAAATAAAATCGTAAAATTTATCGGAAATCATAATTTAACACAACATAATGTAAAACTATAAGTGGTCTAACTGCTCCAGACGTATATATTCGCACGCGATAAACCTTCGCGCACGGCGCGGTAGCTACGTTCAGACGTATTGCGCAGCGAAAGGGTTAAAGTAAAATGACCTAAATCAATTTCTGTTTATCCAATGAAGTGCGACAATTTATGTTTGGACATCGTGTGTAAATATAAATCTTTGTTGCCATAAATGACAATCATAAAAGATTAGGGCCCGATATTACTAAAATTAAATCAACAAAACGTTCATAAATGGACACAAATTACTTACTTGTAAAATTAATGCATCGGCTGTACCCTCTGTCCCATTCGCTGCTGTCCAAGGCAAATAATCCAAATTAAACGATTTCGCAGCATCGGAAGGAGTATACTTTTCAACATTTTGGTTACGGTATTGGATAACTTCATTTAAAACAGTCTAAAATATGGACGAAGATGAAATAATTACTCCAATTAACCTTTTGGGCACTTACGAGCACAATTTCATTCGTATCATGAACGACTTGAGCAACTTGTGTCGGACTTAAGTCGGAATGCGCAGAATCCTCACAACAATTCACCAGTTCCTGTATTCCTTTGTGTACTTTACTGACTTCTCTATAAAATATGTCTTGGTTTGTGAGACCGTTGCCGGGAGTGATATCGAAATGTTGGATAGCTTTTTCAATAGCATTCTCCATTATTAAACTGTTCGGTAAGCTTTTCAAGACGATAGCTGCTGTAATTTTTTCCGAAAGCTCTCCTAAAAATTCATAATTATATTATAAATTAGTAAAAAATGTAAAACTAAACACCTTACCCAAGATTTGTACTGTCGCAGTGGGTGTATCTCTAATAGTAGATGCCATGAGCCGATCCCACAATCCAGAGTCTTTCAAAAACTTTAAATAAAGGGAAAGAGCCTTCTGCTTATCTTCCAATTGATGTAGAACTTGCATGGAATAGGAACTACCTATTCCCGCGGGTACATCCTTGTTCCATCGTGGATCACCTGCTGGTATGTCGTCTAGAAGATCTTTACACATGATCACCACAACTTTATCTAAAATACTGTCTATCCCCGGCACTGTAGATCCTTCAGTTGGAAACAATTCAGTAAGTATATCTTGATAAGCGGCCTACAAATAATTTTTTTATTAAACAGTAGCCGTGGTCAGTACAAATCTACTAACCTGCTGGTTTCGGATGTGGAATATAAAAGCGGCTTTTAACTGCCCCACAGTATCTTTATACGCAGTTAGTATCTCCTCAGGATCCATATTATAAACAGATAGATTGTTCCCAGTGACAGGCTCACTGAATGAAGTTTCAACTGGGGTATTTGGCGCTGTCATACTTAGATTCATGTAGTCACTAACAAGTTGATCACTACTTGAAACGGTCACAAGACCATTAACCCTCGAGAAAAAAATTGGTGTGTTGACGCAAATTGAACCCCCTAAAAACGTTCCATATTTGATAATTAATTATTTAATCAATTTATATATTTAGCTATCTAGAAATACCATATCCAATGGATAAGCTCTCAATTACACAAAAAGATAAAACAGAAATGTCCAGCAATCACTACAAATGTCAGCGATTGCTTCAAAATTATTGGGGAATTTTTCATTCCATTTTTTTAATTCACATCCATATTTCCTACCCGAACCATAGGGACAGATATAGATTTGAATTGAACTATTTTCCAGAAAATTGTAATTTTGTTATAAAAGTTAATAATGTTCTACATGTTTTACAAAAATTTGGGTATCGTTTTGGGTATTGTCAGGAAGGTAAAGTTCAATATGAACAAATACGGAATAATTTTTGCGCAAAATTAATTTTTTAGAACAAAATTGTGTTTTATTAAAAACAGTTCGATTTAGATATACGCATAAAATTTAGTTTAAAAATCTGCAACTAAATTTAAAAAATCAACAGGTCTGAAGTTCTTTTGAGAAAAAATGGCTGCATACCACACACATGCTCTTTGCAAGTCTAACTTGGTTCAGATGTGCAGTGTTCAGTATACAGAGTAATGCATTTAATAAGTACGAGTGAAGTAAAAGGTTGTATAAATCTGAAACAATGCATTAATGATTGAATTTCTTGCAAAAAAATTACATAAAACCATGAAATTTTGAGAGATTGGTGAAAAAATTTTGTGACAAGCATTTCTCACATAGGTCTGAAAAAAAAATTGTGAATTCGAATGGGATAAGTAAAATGTTCGGTTGGCATCGGATATACATACGATCTGGAGAAGAGATATAGGGATCGCCAAACTGTCTCAAGTCTACATAATTTAAATACAAAAATAACAATCATCAACATTTCAAATTAAAAATATAACATAATGAGGTCTCGCAAATGATACATACAGGGTGACTCAGTCATAATGTCATTAATTTTAAGAGAAGATAGGGAAAAATAAGTAGAACACGAATTTTAAAATGCATATTTACGCTAAAAAAAAATATTTTCAAATCGTTATTTAAACCCCTAGTTGGACCATTCCTAGCTGCTGACCCACAAAGGTATATCAAGAGTGAATCTTGACCTACTATATAATTTAGTCACTAACCCAAATTTTGCGTTTTTAATACATGGTGAATGACAAGGAGTAAACAGATCATTTTACCTACACACATGAATGAATAAAATATTTTTTTAGATTTTAAATATTAACAAGTATTATTTATTTGTTAATGAAAACAAACATTTAACAATAATTGTAAATTTAAGAGAACTGAGAAAAACAGCTGTTTTCTTCAACACTCAAACTCTCTTAGGTCCGCTAGCGTGTTCCTGGTCAGCAAATGTGATGCAAAGTAGGACGCCAAATTACGGGGAGTTAAGGGTTATCATTTAAAAGGTTGAGTAAAACTTTTTTCCGATTTTCTGCCTTTCCTCTGCTCTCCGTAATGAAATTATGACTGAATCACCCTGTATATAATGATGACAACTCACCTAACAATAAGTCTTGTGGAAAATTAAATTCTAAAACATCAGGCTCTTCTTGCGGTTTCACTACTGTAATGGTTTTTAAGTTATATATGTATGCATTTATCCCACACAACAAAAATCTGTATGACAACGCATCACTGGGGTTATCTTCTCGATATAATCCAGACATTTTTAATAATAGGAAGTCCCGTATTTGAGTTGTACCATTTGTGCTGAATGATATCAATGCATAATGCACCTGCAGAATATAAAAATTACATTATTTTCATACCAAAAAGGTTTACAAGTCAAGGAATAAGCAAAATTGCTTTTTTAAAATAGGTGTATCTCAATTTTGATTTAAATTCAAAACTGTAAAATATGCAAATTTAAATTAATGTAAATTTTAGTTCTTAGCAATTTTCTTCTAATCTAGATATTATTGTATAAACAATAATTTACACATTCCAGATGATTATAGATATTGTACAGGGTGTAACTTTGATTGGGGATCATATTTATATGGCAACTATGTACCTTTGATCTTTAGAAACACGTCATAAGTTTGTTTTCTCAAATTTTGTTGTAAAAACTGAATTTAATTTTAACCTTGTTTCTGTAAATTTCATACCATGCTGCTATATGATATACAAAGTAAAATAAAACTAAAAATCTTTTGAGACTCGATTGTAAGTTGCTAGAGTAGAGACGGTGGTGGGTGGAATATACAAAAAAAAAAAAATTATTACCTGTGGAGACATTTGGACATTTACAGCAGCAGCTAGTATAATAATATTTTCCTTATCGGATTGTATATCTAATAACCACGTATCAATTTCAGCTTGGTCCCCTACACAGTTGTCCCAAACAGCATTGTGAAAACTGTCTCTTACAAGACGATTCAATTCAGATACGCATACTAACTGTTCGGTTTCTGTGGTGGAAAGAATCCACTTTTGAAGTGAATGTCCAGCAAGTACAAACACTGTCCATGATCCATCCTTATTTAGAACACTCAGCACTCTTATAAGTCTCTGAAAATTTATATTAGGAAATTTATGTTATTATTTTCATCTTTACTTACTGTCTCTGATGAATGTTCATTAGAAATTGGTCCAAATATTAAAGAAGACATACGTTTACTGATACCACCCAACCACCCACTGGGTGTCTTCAGATGTTTGCATTGTAAGATATGTCTTCCTCCACTAACTTGTGGCTGAACCAGGACTGTAGTGCACGTTGTTGTTGCTAAGATACATCCCAAGCCCTCAACGTCTGTTAAACTGTCACATTCTTGACCTTGTAAATCTATAGTCTGTTCTATAGTTACCCCTTCATGAACAATTGCAGGCCAATAACGAAGAACACCTAAAAATGACTCATAAGTATTTTCAATACGTTGTATGTAAATATTGAATTTAAAAGCCTTTCCCGACATATGTAACTGGCAACTTACCTTCAGGAGATACGGCAATACAGGAAGGACTATTAGAGCCTGCTGCAATAAAAACAGATATCAATTCTGCTCTGTGAGCCAAGTCACTTTGTGGTAATTGCAATTCAAAACATTGATTTACACCACCATGTTTTCGCTGAGGTGTACCAGGAGCTGAAGGAGATTGGCGATATTGCCATATTAATAGTCTTCTTCCACATACAACCCATGCATAACCACATTCACAAATACGAGCAGACACCACAGTGTTCCCTATAATAATAAAAAAAAAAAAACAACAAAGCCTTATATACAATACCAGTAATATTTCTTACTGTCTGCGAATGTTAAAGCTTCAGTAATAAGTACAGGTAAAGGTTGACCAAAACGTTCCACATAATTATGCGGTGTTTTTAAAACTATTTGCACCGATTGTGCAGATTTTCCAGATACGCTCAATCGTCTAAAACACAATTTTACCTTTACCGGTATTTCTCATAATTACTCAGATTGCTACTTACGACGATTTTCGAAATGATGGCGGTATAATCCTTTTTGAGCTAATATTTTGACGAGATCTTGGCGAGAAAGGACTTTTTATTGAAAAAGAACTTTGTAAACTTCTGTCCATTTTAACGTTAATTTAAAATTTTCATAAATGAAAATGAGGTTAGAAAAAAAATACAAACAGTTTACTTCTATATTCAACAGTATTCCACATACTTCTATCAAGTATGTGCAGTATTCATTCTCCATAAGCCCTGTTCGTTAGATTCACTCCTAGTGATCCAAAGGATCTTGGATCATGAAGAGTACGGAACAGTGACGTCACCAGATCCATTTAGATCACAAACTAGAGCAGTCAGCTCTTGGAGTAATTTGCCTGTGTTCGTTAAGACGACTTGATGACTTGAACATAAACTATCATAACAATTTTTCCATAATGACCTATGCTTTGATTTGTTGTATACGTGTATGTTTTAAGTTTACTTCAATCTAGGGTATTTTAGCAGTTTCGCTTCTGCATGTTTAGGTATATAAAAAGTAAATTTGTTATCCATCATGAATAAAGAAAACTTATTAGGTTTATTGGCGGAATACTAGTGGAAGAAGGAGAAAATGGATTGAAAAATGTACCAACATGTTTAGATGTAGAAGTCACCACTTCAAAAGAAAGCAAATTTATCTAACAATTAAACATAAAAAAAGTTTACCGGCATACGTCAGATATATGAAGTAATAAAAATAAAATCAGCTGATTGCTTTACTCTCTTTGTTCTAGCACAAATAACAGAGCAACCAGAGCAATGATCTTATATTGATCAGAGTGAAATACTCCTGCATCGTTATGCGTTAACAACATAGATTTTCTGCTCGGCTTCAACGAACGCCGATAAATTATTCCGATTAAGTTGGAGTACGTCAAGAAGACACAACGAACAGTACTATAGAGAACATTTTTTTACTTTAATCTATGGTCAGTGTTGGTCACAAGGTCATCTATGTTATATTTTTTGTGGGGTCCTCTGTGGTGTAGGCATATGAGTAATTAAATAAGAATGTTTTATTCTGTGTCTTCAGCAGCAGTGGCAGAGTACTGCCATCTGTAGCTGGTGCAGCAAACGACACACTCGGAAACCACAGACCATAAAATAATTAAGGAAAAACACAATTAGAGTAACCTCTAATTTTACAATCTACTCGATACTAGATGTCATTGCACCATAAAGGCGTAAATTGAAATGTAACAAAATACAGTAATTGAAAGAGTTAAAAGTATTTCATAATAGATCACAAAACAGCTACTAAGTTATCAATTGAAATTAACGTGAACCATACAAATTCATTCTGTTACGAATTCGAAAATATTTAAGGATTAAAAAATGTACAGCGAGATTTTTGTAATTATTGCTTTTTTTAAGGAAACCATTAAAAACTGCAAATTTTAAAGAATTATTTACCTGCCTTTATGTAAAATACATAGCACAGTTACTTAACAAAAATTATGGTAGATACATTTATTTCAAATTAATTGGTTTTCATCAGTACGATGTAACATACTACACTTACAGCACTTATAGCAAATAACAATTTTAAATATAATGTGCATTTCAGTTTTTTAAAAGGTGAAGGTGAAAAATCATCCTAAATTGAAGTTTGGCAGCTCCTACTCTGAAAACTCTGTAATGTTACGTTAACAAATTGTTTTGCTGAATGTTGGAGACTATCCGAGGATTTCGAGGTGATATTATTACAATAGGTGAACTTTTGGTTGATCATAAAAATAATGTCGGCACAGCACTTCCTATTACTGTTTTTTAAACCTTTTAACACAAAATGGTCTTCACAAAAATAATGATTTGTGTTTGTCGGAGTAAATTCTGATTTACATGCATACTTTTCGAACTGATTCTGTCCACAGTAATTGTCTGTCTTTTGTAATTCTGAAAAAACTTTTAATTTTATAGAACATATTACAGATATTCATATAGTAGGGCATGCTTTTCCAATTTGGAGTAAAACATTGTTTAGTTCTACCATTGTTTATATCGCGACTAAGATCCTTACACATCCGATATCAGTGGGCAATGGATAGGCATGCTACCGTTGTGCAAACGGAGTTAGCAGGCATAACCATAGCCGCGAAGGAAATTGCCCGCAGGCATACTACGGGCAAAACCATTAGAATCTACACGGAAAGTAGACAATCACTACTGACCTTGCGTAATCATAAGATAATGACTAGGACAGTATGGGAATGCCATGAAGCACTAGTTGTGGCCTCGGCCGCTAACAGCATATCTGTATGCTGGGTAAAGGGACACGAGCAGTGCTATGGCAATAAAGAAGCTGACAAGCTAGCCAGGAGCGCATCGGGCCTCAACATTTTTGGACCCGGCCCCTCCAGTGTGCTTCCGTTGTCGGCACTTGTTGGAATTATCAAGGAAGACACCCACAAAGAATTTATGAAACGGTGGGATGAAACAATCAGCTGTCACTTTGCTAAGGAGTTCTTAGTGTATCCTAGCAAAGACACAGCCAAAAAATACCTGGCTATGTCTAGGTCAAATCTTCGCCTGGTGACAGGTATTCAAACTGGACACTGTTGGCTAAGGAAACACCTTTACAATATGGGGAAGTGTGAAACACCTCTTTGTAGGGGCTGTGGACAGGAAGACGAGATGGTGTTGCATTTACTATGTGAATGCACTGCCGTCTCGTCAACAAGAGAGTCCATGTTGGGAGAATGCTGGGCCTTCAATGGCCTATATTAGAGAGACCCCCTTGAGCAACGTCACCACCTTTTTCACTGTAATAGGCTGGTTGGCGGCTCAGGTGAATTGACCTCTCTAATGGGAGGAAGTACAAGGGGCCCAATGGGGACTAAGTGCTGTAGCTTTGCTACCCTACCCACAATTCCAGATTCCAGATATCGCGACTGTAGTGGTATGTTGTAGTCATGTACCTACTTCGATAGTAAGTATATGGTTGTAGTATGTGTAGTGCGAGAGAATGAAGAGATTTAAACTACTATATGACAACTAAGATCAAGAGATAGAAATAGTAACTATGTCACATATTTACCAATATTCAGTCGCGAAAAAACCTACAGATTCGATCTATGGTTGCAGATTTCTGTTTAACAATTTCAATAAAGGACAATGTTTTGCTGCACCAACCCGAGATGGAATGCATGCTCCGTCCGTCCTAGGCGCCTTATCCAATAAAAAAAGGTACATACCATAGATTACAGAGATTAATCATTTAATTGGACAAATTTTTCAACTTCTTAGTTTAAGACCAAACAGAATGACTACAGCTCTGAATTTTGTCTCAGGACATATAATAATGCATCGATATAAAGAAATTGAGCAAAATATTTTAAATGGCAGCATATACTTTTTATGTATTTCGATAATGAAGTTTTTTTTTGTATTTCCATGAAATTTTATCCGACGTTATTAAAGGTTTCCGACCTATCCGAAAATAATTTTTTAACTTCAACACCCTGCTTAGGAACAAAGCATTTTTCAACAAAATTCAATTTGAACTATCCCCTCTCGATTTTCATAAGAAAATCTATTGATGTCCATAAATGAACACCTTATATAAATTCAAAGCAAACTTATTGCTGTGAGGTAATTTCTAATTTAATTTTACAAAGGTAAGAAAAAAACTGGTACTTAAATATTTTTTATTGGATGTTTGATTTTATTACATATGGATATATAACACTTACATGTACATAAAGAAACTTAAATATAAAAATATTTGGTTGAATATTTGCAGTTTGACAATGGAACAACAAAAATTATTTGTACTGGATTGTTCCCTGATGTACAAATATGCAAATGCATTTATTCTTTATTGTATGGTTAGTACTATACATGAAGTTATAATCTAAATGTAGGGCATACAACACAACTTAAATTTAAATTCTACATTATACACTGGATGTTACAATCTTATGAACACATAAAAATCAATTGTGACTCAATCTTAACAGCAAACTTGCATTTTTAAAAAATTTGTCGCTGAACGCAGATGAAAAGGTTCTTATTAACATAGGTCACCAAAACAGTACGAATTTACGTTTAATTTGTGCGGTATGTAAAAGATAACAGGAAGCGTAAAATACACAAAAAAATGTATCTCAAAAACTTATTTTAATAAACCAAACAACTCTGTTTATAAATATGCACACGATAGTTAAATGACGTTTATAGAAAAATGTAATATTACCAAAAATAAAAATTCAAAAAACTTCTTGTATAATATTTAAAAAATGTGATGTTTCCTATGGATAAAATTGAAATTTAAAAATATAATGCCCATCAAATAAAATGGAATGTTTCTAACAATAGAAAAATATAGTTATAAAAAAATTACACGATTAGATATTTTTATCAATAGTAAATATTGGATTTTTGTCTTTGTAGGCCTGGTTGTTTGTTCTTCTTAGTAGTTATTGCGTTCAGAATTTTGGTGGACACTGGAAAAAACCTTTAGTTAATATTTTACAACATACATGTTAATTTATTTACTTAGATTCGTAAAGCAAAACTTGATTTATACAGGTACAATATTTATTTTTACACAGTATAAAAATAAAGTTGAAATCTTTAGGTAAGTATATACAAAATCTTATTTAGAATAACGTAACTACAATAAAATAATAAAGGGAAAGTAATGACAACTGTACAGAGAATGACAAATGAAATTTGTTAGCAGTTACCGATATAAATGAAGTGAAGAAACACGAAGGTCCTGAAGAAGCAGACAGCTTTGTGGGATGATTAGTGATTCCTTGTTAAACAAAACAGAACAACAAAATCACTAGTCTTCCACACAACTCCATCCTGTTAGTATCAAATCCACACACCATGTTATTAGTAATCTTCTTTTAGCTATGCACAGTTATATTCTTGCCATGAAGCCACAATAGAACAAAGAATATTACGGGATGCCACAGAAGTATAATTATTTTCGGATAATAAATAAGATGTTTTTTACCAAAATAATATAAATGCAAATCGATTTCAAATATTTATTAGTAGGTTCCTTCAGCTTGTCCACTGTTAAAGCAGAAGTCACCTTTCATTAAATATTTGACTGCTGTTTCTGGGACATCCTGCACTTCTCACATATATTTAAAAATGGAAGATACAGACATACCCTGCTATTAGAAAATTGACCTTTAAGCCACCCTCTTTAAAACACAACTACACTGAAATTAAATGACAATAATTTGTTATTCAATTATTAAAAAAGCATTAGTAATGATAAAAAATATTGCAGATATACAGTTTTTTTATAATTACAGTGTGGTACACACAAATGACAGGGCACCATTAAATCAACTAATATATAAATGGCTTAGTTTTGCAAGTGATGTGTGATACCTATGTATCGATCGCATATATGAAACCATGTCAGTTTCACTGTCATTAGTAGACTAATGGATAACATTTTCCAAAGTTAATAAAATATCTGTTTCACAATATCTGATGAACTTCAAAGTTTAGTTATATCTATTGTCAAGGTAAGCAATACTTGAGGTATAGTCTTTCCGATATCAATTGAATAACCAAGAGTATGACAGTATGTACCAGGTCGGTCGCTGACGCAGCAACTTGGCATTGAAATATTTGAAAAACTTGTTCCCATATTTATTTAGCCATAGCCACATACAGGTCTGGTCGAACTAAACGTGGAGATGGTAAAAATGTATACGTCCAGTTGAATAATGCGAGCGCGGGCAAACGAAATATAAATACAGTTGGATTGGGCCACTGGGAAATAAATCTCAGCCGTTGGCAAGTGGTCGACAAATATTTATGTGTACAAATAATACAAATTTTGCAATATTTTTTAAAATTTTAAAATTAACTAACTAATTAAAAAATGAATTGATTTTGGACAAATTTTAAATAAAAACAAGTTTATATTTATGGATCGATTTTTTGATTTAAATTAATGGATGGAAACTTTATTTCAATAAAATTTCATTAGCACTAATTCACAAGACTAAACCGAAATATATGACAAGGTCACAGTGGAAGACTAGTTTTTAGATCACTCGCAAGGAACCTAACCTAATCCATTGGCACTGAAATATACACAGTCTGGCTATTAAGTTTTAAACTGATTTTTTTTGTGTGTGAAACGAGTTTTGCGAGAAACAACTACTCTGGGGCCTATATGCCTTGACCGGTATTGGATTATACTAGTATAACAGCAAGGATCGTTCGTCAGTTTAACCCACCAGACACAGACTGGTTTTAGACTTATTGGTTCTCATCAGTATGTCGTATGTGAGAGAAAGAAATATGTTATACACGGAGCGTAAATGGCTCCATCTATTGCGCTACTTCCCAATTATGCCATTCATATGGCCAGTGCTAGTAGGAAGCAATCTGCTAAAATTTGCCAGGTTCTTATTTGCACTAGCATCGTTAACTGGGCGAAAACAAAATGTTTTAAATTGGTCCTCATTAGTATGTCGTAGATAAGACAACCAACGAACGATCCAGCTGATTTACGATGGTGAGGAGTGTGTATCACGTCCGATTATATTCCTATGGTTCAAGAGATTTCGTGATAGCCGAGGCAGCGTGCACAACGACGAGACAATGGGGCGTCTCTGCACAAGCTAGACAAACAAAAACATTGAAGCTGTGCGCTCTGCGCTGAAGTCTGATCATCGATCAACCATCAGAATGTTGGCAGATCGTGTACAATCGAAAGTCACTCCTCAACGTAAGCTGTTTGTATCAGTTGATACATTTCCGTGTCCGTTTTACCAGCTTTAAAACAGAATTTGATTCCCGTACACTGTTCAATGTGCGTTTCCATGACAACTATCAAAATCTCGCTCCATGTAAAACGTTATAACTTTGTGGTAGTTTCACGTATACTGTCAAAATTTTGTTTGGTTGCTTAGAAGGTTACCCTGTTGACCGCACATAGATAGCATGAAGCACTTCGCCACAATGAAATCAGTCTTAAACCTTAATAGCCGGACTGTGTAGAAATTTATAAATCCCAACATTCGGGACTATAAAAAAGCCCATTCTTAAATGAATCAATTTTAAATTTATTTAAATTGAAAGATCGTCTTAATGTCAGCAACATAACTGCTAACTGCTTTTGACATTAGTTTTATAAAACTGGTATATTCCTAAAATCAAGGGTAAAATTTTGTGATTTTTTTTTTTAATTTACACCAGTGCACTACGGGCCAGGAAACTGAAAAAGTGTCCAAAATACTAAAAGTGCTCCAATTGCTATGAAATGTGGTACTCCAAGGTTTTTGGGGTCACTGATTTTGAATTCGTACTCAAAATTTAGAAATTCAAAATGACATCCAATATGGCGGACAAAAATGCTAAAGATGCTCCGATTTTGCTGAAATTTGGTATTGAAAAGTTTTTTGGGTCACTAATGTCAAATCCGTACTCAAAATTCAGAAATTCAATGGCGGATCCAATATAACGACTATAAAATTATAAAATGAGATTATGTAATTGAAATACCTGCATTTTGCCTACAATATCTGCAGTTTCCAGGACCTACCACAAGGAGGTTGCATTGTAATTTCAGACCCCTTAATTACTGTATCGGTAATTCGGGATGCCTTATTAGTCCTACTGCCTCTAAAGTATTTTTCAGAATTTTTTCGCTGTGTCGTTTTTTATTATAAATTAATAGATATTACTGTAAATTATTAGGAAAAAGAGAATCGGCATTTTCTGCTGTAAATCCAAATAAGTAATTGAAATATTTCTCATAATAGTGTCCTGAGGGTTTTTTATTCGTAATTAGCAACCTGAAAAACTCCCGAGTACTGATTTTCATGAAAAGTAAAAATTTATCTGAAGCATTGGTCCGTCATATTGGATCAGCCATTTTCAATTTTACAATTTTGACTTCTGATTTGTAATCAGCGATTTGAAAAAACTCGGGTACTGATTTTCATGAAAATTAAAAACTTATTTTGAACTATTGGTCTGCCATATTGGATCGACCATTTTGAATTTTACAATTCTGACTTCTGACTCGTAATCAGCGACCCTGGAAACATTTAGATGCTACATTAAAAAAAAGTTTCATTGATAAATAAAATGTATGGCTCAAAGAGTTAACCTCTTTCACGCGTGCTGTCACGGTTTATTATAAAATTCTTCGAATTATGTGAATATTCGCAAAAGTTCACCAGTTTTTCTTAAAGTACACACTCTAAGGATTCCAATGATACATCACTCCTTTTGATAAGTAGTGGAGTTTAGGGGAGTTCTGTTTCTAAAGTATGGTCAAAGCATCGAAATTCACTAATATATGAGTATACTGTTGTCATTTTCTCTGCTTTTCATTTTTGTACTTTGCGTCCTACTACAACGATTTATCGAAATGAAATGATGTATGAGATGCAATATCAGACTTTTAATTTGTTGAAATACAACAGTATCAATGAAATATTTGAAAAGTAAAATCGAAGATGATTTTAAAAGTTTTTAAGGAGTTACACCACTAGAATTTTCAAAAAATCGTTTTTTTTTTGCTTAAAAGGTAGTTTGAACCTTCTAGAATATGAAACAAAAAGTTTTTATACATAAATTTTTTTTTCTTTTTAATTTTTCGCTTTTCCTGAAGCATATCGGGCGTCTCTCATACGCGCTATGAACATACTCGCTCGAAAGGTACCGCGTATCTTCTTACCTATTGATTTATAACTTCTCTAATACACTCATAGATGTCGTTAGGGAGTATGCGTGTACAATTCAAGCCAAAATTTCAAACAGAAGTATGTTAGTGTAGCGTCAGTGCACGTTCATGTCTAAAACTCATTTTAAAAGTTTAAACGCGTTTTTCTCGAAACACACTTTTTCAAAACCATAACTCCAACAATTTTCAATATTTTCTTTTGAAATTTTAACCACATTTAAAACAACATTTTGAAGAGAAACATGTACGTATTTTTCGATAAGTTAATTTAAACAATTGTTATAAACATAAACAAATCACTGCCCTTTTTTTCGTCAAAAATTTAACGTTTTACTTCAAACACTTGCGAATTTTACAAAAAACTATATTTTTACAATTCCGTACGTGTTTCTCTAGCTATACTCATGTAGATTAACAGCAATTTTTTTTTGTTCCACCTTGAAATTTGTACTAGATCTAGTGCGTGCCGCGGAACGTCTCGACGGCAAAATGCTTCAGGAGAATGGCTCCAGTGCCGCCATTTTGAAATATCAAAAAAAAAAAAAATTCTGTATACGTAATACATGCCTAATAACATATTTAAACAGTTTTTTTTCTATTACTTTTCCTTCTATTAAAAAAAAATTGTCAAAAACACGCTTTTTTAGACTGTTACAGTGTTAAGTCATTGCCACATTGAGAGTAGCCGGTCAAATTCGATGAAACTTTAAAAATCACTAGTTTAGCTTATCTGCATAGTTAACGACAAGACATTTGTTTGAACTCATCCCCGCAGTCGCTTTTTGGCCACTTTTTCAGTTTTCTGGCCTATAGTACAGTGTGCGCAGTGATCGAAGCTTAATTTTTCCTTTCTGACTAAGATGCTTTATCCAATTATCAAGAAACTGATACCAATAAATTAAAAAAAAAATTAACACAGCTCTTGGTTAGACTACTAATTCAGGAAACATTGTGAAACACTTGATTTAATTCACTAAAGGTTAACCCTTAAGCGGTGGCTATTTAGCTAGAAAGATCAGTAGATATTGTGAAACCGACTGTAAAAAGGACCGAGGCTCTCTGCCAACAGTCATATGTACGGGTGGAGAGATATGAGCGATGAACATCCAATGTAGTTATATTTACCTACATTAAATATTGACAATGCAGCGAGTATAAACATGTCATATCATAGTAGAATATGCCTGTCGTTATAAATAAAGCATCTATTTGACTTAAATTTATTTTATATTTAGACGTAAAAATTATATATCTCAACCTTTTTTTTTTTGACAGACTAAACCAGTTTGGCTTATTTTTGCCAGTATAAATGCTCGTATAAAAAAATTCAAATTCTCTGAGGACATTAGGTGTTAATATTACTGTATGTACAATGTGTAACATTAGTAACAAGTCAAATATTTAAAATTTAATAGAAATAAAAACGGCAATATAAAACATTAGCTGGTTTTTGTAATATCTGCAACACTAAAATTTGGAAATCGAGGAAGAATTACACATTCCTGCAAATGGTTTAAAATAACTTAAAGACGATTAATTAAAACTGAAAATTGCTATTTACCTTTGTTGCAATAAATATTGTGCCATCTGTATTTGATTTGGCATGCCTGTTATAGTAATGATCCTATCGTTAGAACCTGGGAGAGGTTCGTCAATCGTGATATTAGCTCCAGAATCAAGACGGATTTTCCTTATTCTGCCTCCGCCTTTTCCAATAATAGCACCTGCGAGCTGAAAAGTCAAAAACTGCATTAATTAATGAACATTAAATCAAATGCTTCTCTATATGCTTGATAAAATATATTTACCACAAAATATATAAAAATAGTTACTTATTACTGAGTAAAATAAAAAAGTAATAGAAAAATATTCTGGAAAAATTCAGTTTCTTTCTTTTTATTAGTGTACCATCTTCTCTAATGATATATGATACAGTATTAAAAATACAATAAAATCTAGAATAAAGAATTTTATCTTGATGTAAAAATTATGTCATTATTTGTTCATTTTTTTCCAAATTCTTCATTCAAATATATATATATATATAAAAATAATAAAAAAAGATTTTGTATCTGTCAAAAAGTAAGAGTCAAACTGTTTTTCTTATTTTTTCACATGAACTCTTCATAGAAATAAATTAAAAAAATATGTTTTTTTTTTATTAATATTTAGACATAATTTTTATTTTAGTAATTATTATTAAATACTAGTTGATTACACTGTACTTTTTATGCGATATATGTTATCCGTAGTATTTTTGCCTCCTCATCTAGAATCGGGTGTCAGAATTGAGCTATCATATCACAGGAATTTCCTAACCTCAAAAAACAGGTCAAAAATAGCGAAAATAGATATAGCCGAAAAAAAGGTTAAAACATGATTGGGTACTCAGGTTATAAAGTAAACAAAAATATTACAAACTTCGATTCCGAAAACCCACATATACCAAATTTGACGCGAATGCGTTATTTTTTGAAAATTTGTTGGGCCATCTTAGATCCGCCATCTTGAATTTTGCAAATTTGACCTCGGATCCGTGATCAGCGTCCCCGAAAACCCCCGGACACCAAATTTGGCGCGTGTCTTGTATTTTTTGAAAATTCGTGATATCTGACCTTAATGGACCCATTTTTTTTTGAGGTTAGAAAAAGAACCATCAATTCTGACTGCGGATTCATTAACCATATAAGTAAACAATTGAATACAGAAAAATTTTTTTTTGTATTTTTCAAAGCATTTTTTCGTGAATTTTTGCTATTTTTGAACTGTTTTATGAGGTTAGGAAATTCCTGTGATCTGATAGCTCAGTTGTAGCCAACAGAGTAGCCTTTTCCCGCAATGTCCTTAGTTAGGAGTCTTGGCTGTAAAATTAGATATCTTTTGCACAGTTAGATTTTTAATATCGCAGAACTTGTAGGATTTTTTGTTAATTTTTGAATTTATTCATTTATTTCCCTTATTGGAAACAGCAGGAATACAAGATACACGGCCTTCATAAATTATTACAGGCCACGTGACCAGTAATTTTGTTTGGAACAGTAATTTTATTTCCTTCATGTTGGCAATCAAATTTTGATAAATTTAAAACAACCAGATCAAGATTACATTGTCACTGGTGTAATTCTTCACAATTTTATTCAACTAACCAGCGATTGCATTATCTTGAACGTAGATGTAATAGTTTGTCATTATTCATTGTAAACGATTTATTAATTCCAGCGACATTAACATTTAGGGATATTTAGTTGGCAGTACCAGCTGTCAATTGTTAGTTGCCTAAGCTCACAGTCACGTGACTTGTAATCATTATGAAACCACTGTATTTCTTTGAAAGATTACATTATTTACAAACTGCAATATTAAGGTACCTATGTTTTTATATTAATATTTAGACACACCATTTTCAATTTTCATGTTAGATAAATATTAATAACTAGCTGTTTACTGGTTAGTGGGGGTATAATTCAACGCTAGTTGGGACAGAGCAATTGTTTCCAGTAATACTATCAACTAATGACATTGTCTCCGAGGTGAGATATCTTCTGCATTTTTCGTATCAAAGAACACTGATTTACTTAATTTTTCAATAATTTTTGAGAATTTTTTTGTTTCTGACAGCGTAATACTTTTAAAATAAAGTAAAATCATGTAACCTATCATTAGAGTCGGAATGTTAAGGATTAAGCATTGTGTAATCTGCTTGAATTAATTCAAATTTGCAACACAAAAAAAAACGTTACACATAAATTAAGGAAGACTGAAAAATAAAAGAAAAATACTAACTTCTTTTGGAATTGTGACTTGTGTAGTTGTTTTTCCGCCAGAGCTGGCATTACCGGGACTATTTTGATTCCCCAGACCGAGCGAATTTGAAGGTGGGGGTGAACTTATGGTATTTGTCATCATGTTTGGTGGAGGGGAACTGAACTGGTTGGAATTGTTGGAGTTTGCCCACCCGTTACGTTCAAATGGAGGATTACCACCATTTATCGGTCTAGGATTATTTCCGCTAAAACCGCTCATATTGTTGCGGTTATTTTGCATCAGGTTACCACCCATCGGCGGTCTGTTACCAAAATTGCTGAAATGAAAATTCAAAATGTAACCGTAATCAAACAACGATAACATTCTAACTATTTCAACATTTTTACCATCCTATCTAGGGAAAAAAAGCTTTTTTTTTTTTAATAAAATACCTCATACATTTGTCATTTTTTTAAAACCGCAATTTTATCTGATTATAGCAACATACAAGGTGTTAATGAACTAATTCGACAAATTAATTGACAATTCTTTAAGTGAATTTAAACCAGAAAAGTTATATAAACATTGGACCACAAATCGATAGTTTTCGAAATAGAGGGTTTTGAAATTAAAAAAGTTCACCTTTTCTAAAATATCTCTGAAGACATTTTGATGCGGTTCATTAAACATAATTTATCATCATCTAATTATTCAAAAATGGTTCGTGTTCTGACATCTTTCTTGGAAACACCACAAGAAGTTACAATCAGTAGTGATGGACTTTCAAATATCCAGTGGTAATGAATTTTGGGTTTTCAGTGAGGTCAACTTCAGGTATTTCTGCCATTGATAAATGTATTTATGTCTGAAGTCACTGGATTCATTAGCCTACGTTTCATCATTCTGGATCAAACATCTTCAGAGATATTTTATAAATGATTTTTTTATTTCCCCCAGCATAATGGAGCATCCATTATTGTTTTTTTTATTACTTTAAGAAGTTCAGAAGAATCTCTAAGGATTGAAAAATAATTCTAAGTGGTTTTTATTACTTTTTTTTCTAGAAAAGTAAAAAGATAAGGATGGTAGAATGGCAATGTAAATATCCCTACGCCAATTTCAACACTTTTTCTCTTACTCATGTTCCCTAAAGTAATAAACAAAAAGAGCAAGATATACGTGATTTTCAAAAAAAAAACATGGAGAACAATGAAAACCGCATCTCAATAACTTGATTCGTTTAAGAGGTACAGAGTGTTATAATTTTTGGTGAGGAGTAACTTTATATTTGCTAAAATGTTTTTTCTAACAAGCTTTTTATTTACATTTTCTTAAATTAAATAACTTAGGTGACATTTTTCAACTGTCATTTCTTTAGTTGCAATGTAAACTTGTGTTTTTTTAACATTGAAATTCAATTTTCCCTGTTTATTACCCAGAAATGCGAGATGTTTCCTAAAAGTGTCAAAATTGGTTCACCCTATACATTTGATTTAGAACTCACCCTCCTCCCATGTTAAACGGTCCTCCATTGTTACCTCCTCTTTGTCCAACGTTTCCACCTCCGCGTCCTCCACCAAATCGGCCACCATTGACTGGGCTGTCACGCATTCCATTTCTAGGAGGAGCTCCTTGTCTCGGTCCGTCCTGGTTCTGTCGACGATTATTATTTCCTGCCCCTTGCGTTCCCCATCCACCGTATTCCTCGGCATAAAAATCTTCATAATTGTGGGGATCATAAGGGTTAACTACCCCCTTAATGGGGCTCTGGAAATAATGTGAAGTTAATTAAATAATAAAAGAAAAACAGACAAATTATAAAGTTATAGGTATATGTAGGCTTAGTTTGAACATATGCATTTTTTAATTTTCTTAATAACCCAATGTTACAGTCCTTAATTATAATAAGAATTTGGTTGTCAGAAGAGAGATTCATTTATATTTATATTTCTTTAATACTTTATTCTATATAGGGTGTTCTAGTTTAGACGAATCAAACTCTAATTGCAGGTAATAGCAAAAAAAAATATTGAAATTTTTCTTAGTAAATGGAAACGATCCATATACAGGATTTCCATAAACAGTAGGGCCATAATGATACGTTTTTAAAATCATATTTCTTACTAATATCTTTCTAAAGCATAAGCAGATTTAAACTGACTCACTATAGTGTTGTTACATATGCATTTGTATGATTTGGTGCTGTTCTAGTATTTTTTTTACAATAAAACGGTGTAGATATGGCGAAGGTCCTTTCCTCACCTCAACTTTTTTTCTTATTTACGGCTTTTGGAACATTGTTATTTTTTTAAGTTCCTATCAAACCCAAAATGCAAATGGCATTGTTTCTCGTATTTTTAGTTTCTAAAAATTGAAAGACAACTGCCCATATCGACTTTTATTAAAAGATATGCAATACATTTTTAAAATCACATTTCTTGCTAATATCTTTCTAAAGCATAATCATATTTAAACCAGATTCACTATAGTGTTGTTACATAGGCAATTGTATGATTTGGTGCTGTTCTAGTATTTTTTTTTACAATACAACGGTGTAGATATGGAGAAGATCCTTTCTTTGCCTCAAATTTTTTGCCTATTTACGGTTTTTGGAACACTGTTATTTTTTTAAGTTCCTACCAAACCCAAAAGACAAATGGCATTGTTTCTCGTATTTTTAGTTTATAAAAATTGAGGGACAACTGCCCATATTGACTTTTATTAAAATCTATGCAATCCATACTTTTTTGTCATTGTAATGATGCAACTTTATCTGTCACTGTTATGTTCTCCTAGAAGGTCTACGTTCTAGATTTCAAAACAATATACCCTTTTTACATATCATTAAAATTTAAATTAGGGTTTCAATTACGTTGGAATAAAAAAAAACAGTCACTTTAAATTCGCTTATAAATAAAACAAGGTATCAGAAAAAATATAACTCTTAAGAAACACATTAATGATTTTTTTAGTATTAATTCTGGTTAAAGTTTGAATCACACCAAATTGGAACAGCCTGTATAAGTATTAATAAACATATGCTTGTTTAAAATTATAGAGTTCTATGTTATAAAAACAATTTTCCAAAAGAAAGACATTTAAAGGTAATGCAACTGGTGTTGCTGCTTTTGGTGTTTTCTGTAGCAGGGTTTTCATTATTTCTGTAAAGTTAATTTGAGCATAAGAAGTTTTAAAGTTTACAATGTGAAGTGTTGATTTAGAGACCCGAAGCAAATCCAAAACAGGTATATGCCTGCTGGTTCGACTGACGAACAATTCTAGTTTTTTATTAGACATTGCAGATATAATTCAATGCTGGCCAGAATAGTTGTTTCCTGCAATGTCATCAGCTAAAACTTAAGTTGATCTAGTTGATCATTAGATCGTGCTTTTGTAGTACCCATGATAATATAAGTCGCTCTTTGCCAGTATGGACATATAAAGTCATCAGTCACATTGAGTAGCAGTGACCAAATTACATGTTGTTGCTTTTTGAAAGAATTTAGTCCTTATGTATATCATTATCATCGTTGGCATAAAAATTATTTGACTCATTCATCGCTTTTCATTTAACTGTGTCTTTTTTATTTTAAGCCAAATATCTAAACAACATCATAAACAATGTAATAACGCCAAAAGTTCTATGTGAATCATAGAACTTTGTATTTTATAAGGTTGGAAACACTTCTGTAAATTAAGTTCAATGTGACACACAGAACATTGTTTTAATGGAAATTACAAAATCATGCAAAATTGTAAGTTGTTTTCGCGTATATTATAGTGGGAGAGTTACATAGAGTATGAGTATATTATAAGAGGCCAGAACAACATAAAGAATCTTGGATATGTAAATCTCAATATTTGGAAAATTGTAACATAAAACCCTATGACTTTAAACTAAAGATATTATAATGCAAATGTATACATTACAAATATGATTATATTTTTACCTGTTTAATGAGGGTCAAAACTTCTCTGATAGTGTCAACACATTTTGATGGTTCCCCTACAATTTGTATAACACGATCAGTGCTCTGAGGGGCTAGGTTTGAAAATATCTTGATTTTGGCACCAGTTTTCTGAAAAATAAAAATTAAATTTAAAAATATTATTACTAAATCCTGTTTAATAATTTGTAAAAACAAGTGATACACTGCACAGCAGCAGCAAATGGAGAAGTACACAATAATTGTCTATGACTAAAGGTGTGTCCGATTATAATGTAAAAAATAATGAATTACAAAATAATTATCTAGAACTTTTCTTAAATCTGTTGCCAATCGGCAATGCCACTTTTTAGTTCTTTGTTGCCTGGCGACAAGTGTTTGAAAAACTGTCAAATAATTTGCAATAATATATTGCGATATTATGGAAAATACATTTTTTTCAAAATAACATTATTCATATTAGTGCTCAACACTTGCGTACTTGATTAGGCACCATTCATATTATAACCGGAGATATAAAAGGGCAAACAAGTCGGATTTTGGGTCAGATATCTTTCAAGAAGACTAAACTCCATGAATTTATGTGCAAGGCACCTTTAGGCTTATTTCATTACACTAAAAATTTGATGAGTAAAAAATAAACATCTTCTCTAAACTGTGAAACATTATCGTTAATTTTAACGTGGGAAGATTTCTAGGGCGAGCATTATCCTCGTCTCCTCCTGGCTACGCCCCTGTACAAGATTATTATTTTTTTTTGAATGAAGGGCTAGTCATTAATTAAAACAATAATATAGAAATGTTGATGTTTTTTAACAATTTTTCTTTGCAAATTATTAAGCAATTTAAGGATTCATAAAACTATGGTGCGCTTTTTACTTTGCTTAACATTGTTAAAATGGAGCTAATTTAATAAAACAATGTTAATTATTACCGGCACATTGATTTTTTTTTAATATTAAATGAACTGCAGTACCATGGTTCAACAAAATGTGATATTTGTCCAATCAATGACCATTTCACGATCTGCTGCTATGTCCGAGATTTATTCATTACACAGCAAACGTTGGCAATAATTTATAGCGAGGTGGTTTTATAACGTGCAGTTTTACACTTCACTTGTTCAATTTCATAGCATACATCCCTTTTAATCGATAATTCACAGTTAAATGGACACTACAATATACACATATCGCAGAAGCAATGTTAAAAGAAATGACAATACAGGGCGATTCACTGATAATGGTACACATCTTAAGAGATTACTGATCACAAATGAAGACAATTGAACCACAGACAATATAGCTTGGCGATAGCTATTTTGTCTGCGATTGAACTGAATATTGTTCCTTTTCTTTATACAGGGTGTGGAAGTCAAAAGTCACTAGTCACTAGTTACTCTGTTGTATCGGTATAAAAATGTCCAACTTTTTTCCTTTCAAAAAAATTGAATTTGATTGCTGACGTCATAGTTATTTAAAAGTTTTACATTTATAAAATGAAGTCGCGGTTATCCAGTACCTTTATAATTCACAAAAGCGGGCATTTCCAGTAATTAATTAATATGTAAAGAACCTTTTCCTTTTCTTATATTTACAAATGTTTGATAAATTTTTCTTGATTTTAACTGGCTTTTAAGTTTTGCAAATATAGTTTATTAAATTAGATACTTTAATGAATTGTAAAAGTGTATATTCCCGTAATTATCAAATGATCCTTTGTTATTGAAGCTTCACAATAAAGTTTAGAGTTACAATGTATAGAAGTTCTATGGGACACAAACGAATTTCATTCGAGATATCCAGATACATACAACCGACAATGAAATTGTATCGCAAAATACGAACTACCTCTACCGTTTTAACTAAAAAGGATTTTGAATTAAAATGGAGCACAGATAATAGAATCTCATTGCTCACTGTTTCAACGAGATATTTCAAAAACTGTTGCGGCTCTGTAAATTTAAAAAGTTTGCCTTTTATTTGTTCTGCAAATAAAAGAAACATGACGTGCATTATTCTGTAGTCTGCAATGATAGAAGTTAGCAGCCCTAACATTTTTAAATGTTATCACGGAGTCTTTCATTCGGCTTGAAAGAACTGCGGAAGTTTTAATTAAAAACAATGTTTGATTTCGATTGTTATTGGCATTCAAGACATATTTGAATCTTTGATGTAGAAATAATAATTAATAGCATCCAGATTTGAAATATTATGTATACGCAGGATAACAGCGACTAAAGACGTATATGTTGTGTCTCTTGCAAGTGAATTTATCCAAGAATTTCTCAATAAATATCTCTCAACCGAACTCTTCTTTTTTTTCCGACCAAACACTTGCGGAAATTTTTTGCGGGTCACAAAATTGAAGAGTTCATATAACGGCAGGATTTCTAAGAACCCTAAATCCTGACCGTAAAAATTAAAGCCAGATTGCATCAATGACTAGTTTTCTGTAAATCGTGATATCAGCATTCCTTGACAGATATCGTTAAATTCAAGAGTTGCGTTTTACAATGAAACGACCTTTCAAACACATCCTATTAATAAAGCCCGTCATATCGATTTCCATTCATCAAATATTATTTTGATTTAGACGTTGCTAGGCCGATTAAAGTCGATTCGCGACTAATAATAGTATATCGCGAATCGATAGCTATTTTGACGATCGTGGGAAATAGGACAAAGAAGTCGATATGCCTTGAACTGACACTGTTGAGGAGGCCAGCAAGAAGACGTCAATAAACTGTCATGTTAAGGAGGCATTGGATTTTTTGCTTTTCCAATTTCAGAGAAGTCTTTATTTATATCTTCTATATAAATTTAACAACGGGACTTGAAAAAAATTGTTAATATTGTTAAATTACCACGTATAGTTAGCAATCTATACAGGGATGGTCAATAGTACGGAATAAAATTCATATCTTTTGAATGAGTTATTTTTATTTTAAAACGCCCAAACACGTTAACTGATTTTGATTTTTCCCCATCTTTCGGTTATATAATAATTAATTTTTCTTCAACCCCCTAACCCCTAGCTACCCCTACTTTTTTTTTCAAATGGAAACATAAGGCATGAGGGGGCTCGTTGAAAAGCTTATAGAAAACCGAATCCAGCCATACCAAATAAACAAGTTTTATTTTTTCAATAGCAAGGTTTTTAGGGTTGTATAAAATACCTACTTAACTGTACCTATCGCTGCTAACGCAAACAAGATATATTTTTTATGTTGCGTTTTTTTGGCACCTCTTACTTGCCAGGCTTTCTGGTTAATTTTTCACTTTAGTTTGGAGTTCGAAACGTTACTATTGTGTCAAAATCAATTTATTTACTGAATTGCAATGGTATTGTCGGAAAGGCAACGCATCGAAATCTTGATATTGCTTGGATGTGGAGACAAAATAAGAAGTCAGGCTGAAGTGCGCGATTTATTTAATGCGAAATATCCCGAAAACCAAATCTCGCAAGGGACAGTTAGTAAAATATTTCACAAATTTGAGGAACACGGTACAGTACAGACTTTGCCCAAAACTGGACGGGCACGTGCTTTGAATGAAGAAAAGAAATTAGACATTGCATTAGAACTTGTTGAAAATCCTCATACTTCAACTGTTTCATTGGCCCGCAATCACGATGCTTCTCGAACTGCAATTCGAATGTTTCTGAAACAAGAGAAATACCACCCCTATAAGGTATGTCTTGTCCAAGAGCTTTTGGAAGACGATTATGATAGGCGATTACAATTTTGTGAGGAAATGATGAGACGGTGTGACGACAATAATGGTTTTCAACGAGACGTACTTTTTTCGGATGAAGCTACGTTTTATTTAAATGGAGTGGTTAACAGGCACAACTATCGCTTTTGGTCCCAGGAAAATCCACACTGGACATGCGAATCGCATACGCAGCATCCACAAAAAGTTAATGTATGGGCAGGTATCATCAACAACAGAATCTTGGGCCCATTCTTTTTTGAAGAAAATCTTACTGCCGCACGCTACCTGGATTTCCTAACATTTGACCTGATACCTGCTCTAGCTGTGATTTTCCCTCATGAAATTGATCCAGATATACCGAATGAAAGAATTTGGTTCCAACAAGATGGCGCTCCCCCACATTTTGGTATTGATGTTCGAAGATACTTAGATGAAATGTTTCCAAATCGCTGGATTGGTAGACGGGGTACAGTTGAATGGCCGCCAAGATCCCCCGACTTAACACCCCTGGATTATTTTCTTTGGGGATATTTGAAAGAAAGAGTCTACCAGGACAGACCGGATAATATTGAGAATTTAAAGAACAAGATTAGGGCGGAGATGCATAATTTACCAGCTGAAGTCATTCAGAATGCTGTGGACAGCTTTTACTATCGTCTTGGAGAATGCCAAATAGTGAATGGAGGACATTTTCAGCATTTGCGACATTGAGTTTATTTTTGTAAATTATCTAGTTGTTTCAATTTCTAAATGAAAAAAAACTTGTTATTGAAAAAATAAAACTTGTTTATTTGGTATGGCTGGATTCGGTTTTCTATAAGCTTTTCAACGAGCCCCCTCATGCCTTATGTTTCCATTTGAAAAAAAAGTAGGGGTAGCTGGGGGTTAGGGGGTTGAAGAAAAATTAATTATTATATAACCGAAAGATGGGAAAAAATCAAAATCAGTTAACGTGTTTCGGCGTTTTAAAAAAAATTAACTCATTCAAAAGATATGAATTTTATTCAGTACTTTTGGCCATCCCTGTAGTATTTAACAATTTTACAAGATAATTTATGAAACTTCTTTTAAGCTCTCTAAAACAAGCAGAAATACAATATATTTCAATTGGATTTTATATTATGAGAATTAAGTTCACGACTGTGATTTTTTAGACAGGTGATTGTCATAAATCATATTAAGGATTTTTGTTTAGAAATCTGATAACGTAGTTTAATTCAGCACCCAACTTCCCACTATTGAATTATAGCTTTCCGTTTTTTTTAATGAAATTTGAAATTGCACTATAAGATGTCTGTGAAAGAGTAACAGTGACTTTTAAAACCTTTCCCAATTTATGTTGCAATTTTTAAGTACTTTTAATATAGCAATCTTGTAACGAAAACAAAATTTACACTTTTAAAAAATTTAAGTTTC